TCTGTGATTCAACAGTCTTACACAATTCACAGTGCTCACCATAGCACATACCCTCCCCAATGTCTATCACCCAGGCACCCCTCCCTCCCACCCCCACCACATACGTTTTTAAAGGCAAGACTGACATAATTAATAATAATAATTTAAAAAAATAATAAAGGCAAGACTGAGCCTAGAATCCACCCCTCCTGAGTATCACATTTGCTTTGAGTCTTTGAATATAGAAATATTACTGGCCTATGGCTAGCAAAGGCTGTGGCTAGTTTTATAGTCAAGCTAACGACATTCCATCCTCTCATAAAGATTATGTTACTGTAATACAGGAATGGCTTTAGTGGCTGCCCTGTGTCAGGAATAACCATGGCAAGGAGGAAGAAGACCACTACCCTCCTGGTTTCTGTTGGACTTGTCAAAGATGAGGCCTACAACAAAGGGGAGTTAAGGAATGTGGGTGGGACTAAATTAAGCATATCCTGTTGGCTAGGCCCTGTGGTAGGTGTTTTAACATTTAGTGTCAAAAGCAGACATCATTTGGTATAAAGCGTTAGGGCTGAACATTCCTTGACTATAACAGGCTGAGAAACAGGCTCCCTCTAGAAAGTAGGAAGTTATGTAGTCTCCAGATGACAATAGTCTGCATCATGCCCTGGTCACTTGCTGTCGGCTGGGCTATATTCATTTCACTTGCCTGGGCCTTGTTAAAAAAGGAGAGCAGTATCCATTTTGAGAAGAGCTTTATTAAAGTAAGATTAATCTGTAAGTGGCATATTTCATATAGGTAAAAGGGGAAGACTGGATGTGATGATGATCCAGGTCCAGGCTTGGCAGACTTCTTGTAAAGGGCTAGGTGGTACTTGCTGGACCACACAGTCTCTGTTGCAGCCCCTCAGCTCTGTCACTGCAGAAAGCAGCGGTAGACGATGTGTAAGCGAATAGGTGTGGCTGTGTTCCAGTGAGACTTTACCCATAAATAGGCTGTGGGCCGGATGTGGCCCTTGCTGTGGTGTGCTGACCACTAATCTAGGTATAAAAGGACCATAATGGTGGGGTGGCCATGTGGAGGCAAAGGAAGGGATTGATTTGAGAGATGTTCAAGTGAAGTAGTCTGGCTTACATGTATTGAGAGGCAGAAGCTTCTACATGTCATGTTCTACATAAACTAATGAGGAGACTTTTAGGAAGAGCTTAAAATTTTTGCTGCTCATGACATGTGCTATCACTAACACCTGGCTCCAAAAGAGCTGGGCTTGTAAAGAGGCTGTGCCCCTTGTGTCGATAAAGGTCAAACCTTCTCAAGTATATATGCATGTTGGCCTTACCTAGTGGGTGTTAATCAAATATTGAAATTTGAGAGAATTTTCTTTGAAATGCTTCCTTTCAGTGGCTTGTTTGTAATAATTGTCAGAAGATCACATCTTGGCTTGGCTTTTCTCCTAGGGGCTTCAGTGGATGGAGAAAGCAAACCGAGACCCTCATTGTATTCCCTGCAAAACTTTGAGGAGATGGAGGGAGAGGACTGTGAGAAAATGAGCAATATGGGGACTTTGAACTCTTCCATGCTGCACAGGAGTGCAGAGTCCTTGAAGAGTCTAAGTTCAGAGTTGTGTCCAGAAAAAATCAGGCCTGAGGAGAAACCAGTGCATCTGCCCGTGCTTCGAAGATCCAAGTCTCAGTCCAGACCACAGCAGGTCAAGTTTTCGGATGATGTCATCGACAATGGAAACTATGACAACATCGAAATCCGGCAGCCTCCGATGAGTGAGAGGACTCGAAGACGGGTCTACCATTTCGAAGAGAGGGGATCCAGGTCTCATCACCATCGCCGCAGGAGAAGTAGGAAGTCCCGCTCTGACAATGCTCTGAATCTTGTTGCAGAAAGAAAATACTCTCCCAAGGATAGGCTGCGGCTTTACACCCCTGATAACTACGAGAAATTTATACAGAATAAAAGTGCCCGGGAGATCCAAGCATACATCCAGAATGCTGATCTGTATGGACAGTATGCCCATGCCACCTCCGATTACGCTCTGCAGAACCCGGGAGGGCCTAGGTTTCTGGGACTCTACGGTGAGGACGATGATTCTTGGTGTTCCTCCACCTCCTCCTCCTCTGACTCCGAAGAAGAAGGATATTTTCTTGGACAACCAATTCCTCAACCCCGGCCCCAGAGATACGCCTACTACACAGATGACCTTTCGAGCCCAACCTCACTCCCCACTCCTCAGTTTGGTCAGAGGACAACTAAATCCAAGAAGAAAAAGGGACCCAAGGGCAAAAACTGTATTATTTCTTAACCTAGTAGCTGTGAAGATCATGTTTAAACTTTGCCATTAACCATCTTGAAGCGTATCTTCTTTCTACCATAGGAAAGTTGCTAAAATAGTTTAAAGTGCTTTGCCCATGTAAATGAGACCCCTGCTGCTGTTTACAGTGTCAGATTAACATTGGGAAGGTGTGATTTCTCCAGTTTGCCCTCCTTGGATGGTGCCAGTTTGATGTGACATCTTGTGCCTGCCAGGTGCATTACAGTTCTATGTAGCGGCTTTGGTCTCCAATCCTCAAGAGAATCCTCAAGAAACTGTCACGAGGTGATTGGACGGGGGTGTTGATTTTAGACAATGGAGAACCGCCACCTTTGTAAAGCGATAGTGTTTGTCGTTTGTCTACACCAGGTTGGCCCAGGTCCTGATCAGTCTGTCTTGTTGTGCGGCATGCACGTAGTCACACTGACCCAGCCAATTCTGTGCATCCCATCGTGCGAGACCACCTCGTCCCCTTTCAATTAGCCAGGTAAACAATGCATTGTATTAGCTCCAGCTACAGATTGAAAAAGACACTGCTATTTATAATGTAGTATTTCATAGACTTAAGTGTATTCCTAATTTAACGGTGCAAATATTAATGTACATATGTACAGTTCAGATTTTAAAGCTGGTATTTTTATATCCCTGAATTGCAAGACGTTTGTTACACTGCAGTGCTAGATTTGTTGGGGAACCAGAAACAGCATTTATGGATGAAATGATTGCTTGTATTTTAGTCAGGGTTTATAAGCTTAGATGGTCAAATTTATATTGCCTAGTGATGGAAAGTTTAAATTTTTTGATTTTTCAATATTAAAAAGGCTCTGTATGCATGGTGGGGCTATGTAAATACTCTTTAAAACTATGGCCCTATTAATCTTACGAGTGCTATTTATGGGTCAAGCAATGTAAACTGTATAAATGTAAAAACAAACCCATACATATCCCTGGAATATATGGTAAAAACAAGTAGAAGTTGTTTGGGTGAATGTTTTTTTTCCCCTTTGGGGATGGTAGGGGTGCCTTTCCCATTTTCAACAAAGTGGTGATTATTTCCTGGGAAGAGACCAAAACTACAAGGATCTGCTGTATAAGGCAGAGGATTCTATAGATTTATTATTTGAAGAGAGGCTATTCCTTTTTATCCCCTCCCTTCCGGCTAATTTGTTGGCCTTGAACAGCAATTTTGAAAACTTTTTCTTTTAAAATCTTCAGAGGACTCTGTGCCACTACTTCGAGTTTACGAGGTTCTACTTCAAGAGCAAATTATCTTGGAGTTGAACTGATGAGCTGGTATTTTGTGATGTGCCATTCCTGCACATAGGATTCAGTCCTAACTAAGGTCCTAGTGGTATTTTGGACCTTTAGGAAGTTATTTAATAAATGCTTAATAAATAACGAACTACCTTTCTGAACAGATCTTTGCAAACATATCCAGCTAACTTCCATTTTGCTCCTCTGTTCTGGCATGATTTCTTTTGCCATTCTTCTACCATTAACAGGCCATGGTTGACTCCTACATATCCCCTACCCCTACTAATAGGTGTGAAATAGGACCTGAGACACAGAGACAAACTTGTACATCTTTACTGGAATGGGGAAAAGCTGTTAGGCCTTGGGGGAGGGGGCTATGAATCCAGTAGATAAGCCAGTGGTCTAGCATCCCCTACACCCAGCCCTGACTAGGGCAAGGCTTTGTAGCTGTGCTCCTAGAGAAGCACACAACCGGGCTGGGGGGAGAGCGCCTTACTCAACAATATATCATCATCTCCCTCGTCTGGTTCATTTTGAAAAACATAGCAGCAGTGAAAAGGAAATGCGTGCATCTGGTAAAAAACAAAAACCAGAAAAACTCAAAGACAGCGGAGTGTCTCCTTTTCACTCTTCATCCCCAGTCCCTCACGTCCCTTTCCAGAAGTAACCACTATTAGTCATTTCTAGTGTGTCCTTCAGACGTTCAAAGCATATTTATATAAATATCTCTTTTAAAATGGTAGCAAAGTATATATGCTTAGATTTGCTTTTTTCACTTCATATGTGGACATTCCACGTTAGCACAAATGGGTCTACCTCATTCTTTCAGTGATGGTATAATACACCGTAACGGACTTACCCAGGCCCTTAGTGATGGACTTGAATTCCTCATAGATCCCTTATCCTGCACTGGCACATCTGCACATAAATTCTGAGCAGCATCATTCCTGGGACAGAAGTTATGTATTTAAAATTTGGATGGCTATCACCCATTTCCCTCCCAAAGTAATCTGCCTGATTAACATTTACACTAACAATGTAGGAGAGTGCTTGTTCCATCACAATCTCAACATGTTAGCAAATATCTCCCTTTTAAAGACCTTCTCAGAACCTCTGCCACAAACACTGGTTATCCTTTTGAAAAGACTGATGTGTTTGGTGAGATGTTGCTTATAAAAGGTGAATCCTAAATAGTAAACAGTAATACACAGCCTGGAGAAATGGTGGTGGAAGCTGAAGTCACTGTCCTTGGTAGTTTTCAAGTCATTGTCAAAAGATTAGTTCCTTTTGCTTCTGGCAACAATCTCCCTATTCGTTTTTTCATTTCCTTATATAAGGGTTATATAGATTATGCTAAAGGCTTAAGGAAATGCAGAAATATTTACTCATGATAATAACGTAACCTTTAAAGCTTCTAAGTCTTAGTAGCAAAGAAAGGACTAGCTGCAAAGGAACCGCTGCCTTGCACTTCTGTCAAGAATTAGGCGAGAACAGTAAGCATGCAGTCGCTAACAGGTATTCACAGATTCAGTTAACGAGAGTGCAAAGTATCTGGTCAGGTCCCAAGATAAATATCCAATGTTAAAACACTGTCTCTAACCTCTACATGTGTGAGGCAGAACCCTACTTGTGTTTTTCTGCACTTCAGAGCAAACTGGAGAACATTTTGCTTACAGCCCATGAAGGGGCACTGATAAAATGTCAACGGGGACTCCTTTCAGCCCTCATTAAAAGAACATAATTCATTTTGTGTATGCATTTGCTATACTTTATGCTCTGCCTTCTAGTTCTCGAGTTAAATAAAAAGCACCAGAAGTAAAAGGAGGTATCATTTGCTGTCAAGCCCTCTTACTTTAGATCCAAATCGTGGACTGTCTTTAGAAGGGCACCCAAGTCTGCTACCTTTCCAGGTATGGCATGCGTCCCTGCTCCACTTGGTTCTTGGGTGATGGGTCCTGAAAGTATTGAGTGCCCAGAGGATTTTAGCACAGGTATTAACACAGCATGGGCATACTTTGGTTTCTTGAGCTTCTCTTTTCTAATGGGCGCTTGACTACTGTCATGGAGAGAACCAGTGTTGCTTAGACCTCCCTTCACATTTTTAGAAACCAGGAATTTAAACTTTTGCCAAATCTAGCTTTTAAATGTTACCAACTAATTCAAACTTTTCTGAAACACTTTGAACCAATGAGCCTGCTGTTAGCAAATCTCCAATGCATGAGTTATATATTCTGGAGCCTGAAGGTGATTCCCCTATCCCTCAGAGCTAATGAGGAGAGGCACAATTACTGTTTATAGAAATACTTGTGATCTTTTCTGATGCACAAAGGAGAAAAACAGATTAAAAAAATTCTAAGAGCCTCATCAATTCAATGCTGGTAACACAATTACGATAAAAATCCTTTTAATTAGTCAAATGAGAACATTGTGTATTGCCTGGTTCCATTTGCTAGCCATTCTTTGGAGCTATCCGAAAATGGGAGGCAATGCTCCTTACAGTCACATGGGCTTTCTGTGAACACATTAGGAAGGTTCCCAGGTAAACTGGGCCAAGGAGACATGAGCAGGAACAACTGAATTTTGCACCTCTGAGCTCACATTTTGCCAAGGTCACAGAATCAAACTTCACTGGGGGAATAAAGTTTAATAGTAGCTTTCACAAAATGGGAAGGACATATGGAACAAAAAGACTGGGTAAATACAGACTTGGCCACAGGACGAGAGCTGATTGTTTTTGAACAGAACCAGCTAGTTGGTCAAGTATTCCTATCTTAGTGATCAATTTTAGCCTCAGCTTTTCTTTTTGCAAAGGAAATGGCACATTTCTTTATGCTCTGTGTGCACAAGGTGCTGTGATGCCAATTTTAAATGTAACTTGCAGCCCATTCTCTGAAAACATTTGATTCCAAACAACCGTTAAGAATCTGAAACCAGGGGCGCCTGGGTGGCTCAGTTAGTTAAGCGACTGCCTTCGGCTCAGGTCATGATCCTGGAGTCCCGGGATGGAGTCCCGCATCGGGCTCCCTGCTCAGCGGGGAGTCTGCTTCTCCCTCTGACCCTCCCCCCCCTCATGTGCTGTCTCTCTCTCTCTCACTCTCTCAAATAAATGAATAAATAAAATTAAAAAAAAAAAAGAATCTGAAACCAGTTTTCTTAAATGGTCATACCTGTTTTAGTGTTTCTTAGATAAATGAACCAAGCAACTGACCTTGGTAAAAGACGGTTACTAATCTAATACACATCAACACAAAGCTGATCTGGCAGAGTGGTGCCAAGCCCACTGGATGCCAGGATTCAGGAGATCTGTGTTAGGAGACCCGCCTCTCTCATTAACTCAAGCAGGTTAAGTGCTCCGACCCAGTTTCTACTTCTGTAAAATGAGAAGTTGCTAGACCATCTCAGAGGTTTCCTTCCAGCTTCAGTATTCTGTGGAGACTGAACTGAATTCATAGGTCAGAAGAGTCTTTCAGCATAAAGTGTTTTTCCCTTTTTTGACTCTTTCATTTACCAACATACTTGGTATGATGATCCCTGAAAGGATGATCCCCTCCAAAGACGGAGCTGGGAACTCACGGGAGTAGGGAACTTTTAAAGGGTTGGAGCTTTTGTCTATTAATTTTTTATTTTTCTATTAATGCTTTGTACTCTCAGTGGGCATGGGCTAAACCAAATCATGGGGGAAAAGTCAGGATGCTTACTTCCCTACCAGGGCATATGCTTCAGATTGGCTTTGTCTTCATCAAGTAGACAGTTGGGAGGCAAGATATTTTCCTCCCTCATATTATTTCTCTCCAATTACCAGAAGGATGAGATTTTTTTCTACATCTTAGAGGGCTGCTACTGGTAGTAATCTTATTCTTGAATCTCTAAACATGTTGTAAGCAAAGCTGAAAAGGTGTTAACTATGTTTGTTTAATCTTGGTTCCTAGAAAGGGAGCTGCCACTTCCAGCTATATGACCTTAGGCAAGTTATAACTTCCCCTGCTCTTGACTATAAAAGGAGAATACAATCTCCATTGGCTTATTATATGTGAAAGTATGAATCAAAAGACACTACAAAGGTGGTTCTAACCTTGTTCAGGTAGTGAAATAACTGAATACAGGGTGTTTTTCAGAATCTTATGAAGTATTTGATAAATTAAACCTGAAATATATTTTAACCTACATCCAATATAATACACTAAGATTCTACTTTACAGAAGTAGAATACAAAGTTTAAAAAAATAGGAAATTTCTGCCAAAGCAGGGCTAGTTCTGTACCCCTAACCCCAGCTTACCAAGGTGTGGGCAGGATCTCTCCCCTTCATTCAACATTCCCACCTCAGGACAAAGGCAGGCCATGGAGGCCATAGGCCTTGCAGAGGTTAAGCCATCCCAGGGGATGAGGAGATGCCGAGGAAACTCTGTCTCTCCTCTTGGACTCTTGGGGTAGGGGTTGAGGCGGGGGGGCGGGGGGGCAGGCTGCTCCTATATGGTAAAGAAAATGTGATTCTCACACAGCGCTCACCTCTCAAACGAGTAAGCCCTGCAGTGTTCACAGACCACCACCCACTATGGTATCGTCAGGCTGTGGTGGGAGGGCATGCCAGCAGGAGCCCTCAGGTTGCTAATGTTCAGTCCTATCTAGAAAAGGAGAGGGGAGGAAATCAAAAGCTTGAGCATAAAACAGATACCCCAGCCTGGTAAGCTACAGTGCTGTTGAACTGCATTTTCTCTCTCCCCTCCCCCAACCCTCCACAACACACAACACACACATACTTTCCCATCTACTGGAGGCTGACCCTATTCTGGCTTCAGAAGCCTTCCCCACTTTCCCCACCAGGCAAGCATAGGGTGCAGGCAGAGAAGGGCACCTGGGATCTGGTGCCAGAGAGGAACCCAGCTGGCTGGTGCTGGGCCCACTTGAAGGTGTTGCAGACATCTGGCCAGTGTGTCTTTCTCATGGGTTTGATCACAAAGGATAGGAGTCTTCCCACTTGGGAGGATGATGGGACCGCGCACTTTTCTGGTCATTGGATCCTCTCCCTTTCCCCAGGTAGCTTGCCCAGACTTACCCACTCAGTGAATGCTCACTGTCCCCAATAACAGTAGGATCTCCACCTCTCTACCAAGAATGGGGGTACCAGCAAGTGCCCCCAGGAAGTCGGCCCTGGGCAAGAGGAACTTTCCTGAAGGTGCAGACCTGCAGGTTGTATGGTCAGTAGCCAGGGCAGCTCTGTCCCCTCCCTATCTTCTATGTATTCCAACCAGGAAAAATGTGCTAGCACATGGGCAGCCTAAGTAGTGGGTACATACCTCAGATGTCCCCTTGCAGCAAATGTCCGCGGATGTTGTGGTTACTTTCTATCTTATATGTTCTCAAATGTTGTTTCAGTAAACCTCTACCTTTTCACTCACACATACACATGAAAAAAACTTTAAAACCCTATACAATTTTAGTGATAATGGTCTAACATTAGAAACACTATTCATCTTTGGGAACAGAGCTCAAACAATGATGTGCTGTGTCATCAGGCTGCCTCTGCCGCTACACAAACGTGCATCAGTCTTTAATGACACTTGTCATCAAGTGAGATTTTTTTTTTTTTTAAATGTTTTATTTATTTATTCATGACAGTGAGAGAGAGAGAGAGAGAGGCAGAGGCAGAGGCAGAGGGAGAAGCAGGCTCCCCACCTAGCAGGGAGCCCGATGCGGGACTTGATCCAGGACCCTGGGATCATGACCTGAGCCGAAGGCAGACGCTTAACCATCTGAGCCACCCAGGCGCCCCAAGTGAGATTTTAAATACAACTTGGAATTAACTCAGTGGACTGACAAAGCCTTTTATATAAAGGGTCCCCATTACCCCAAGATCAGTTATTACAATGGAAAGGCAGGACTGGTACAGCCTCCTGAGAGCCAAGTTCAGTGAAGCCAACCCTCAAATACCATTTACATTAATTTGAACAAAAGGTGAGCTGCTAAGAAAAAACCAATAATGTGGCTTAAACAACGAGGGCATTTATTCTTCTCTGTCACATAACAGTTCGGTATTCTATGTGGTCATGCAGGGATCCAAGTTCCTTCCATCTTGTGGCTCTGCAACAAATCAAGGCTGAGTACCCATGGCTACTACTTTGGGGAAGGGAGAAAAGAGAGCACAAAGGAGCCTATCTACTGTCCTAAGGGTCCCAGCTCATAAGAGAAATACTTCCACTCAAACTCCATAGGAATGGACTTAGTCACTTGGTCACACCTAACTGCAAAGGGGAATATAGCAAATGTAGTCCTAATGAGGCAGTCATGTGACTCTATTTCAACTCCATTACCATGAAAAGCGGCAGAAAAGATTCTGCTAACTGCCTTAGTTACTAGTCATTCCTTCCGCCGCCACCTTTTTTTTTTCCCCCCACTGAATTGAGTAACATCAGTGCTCTCAAGAGAACAGGCAGGAAGGAGATGGTAAATGTATTGTGTATCATCCGCAAACCTTGGTCTGGGCAGCAGAGTGTGGCCATTACTCACAGGAGCTCCAGGTGCCAGGCTGAGCAGTGTTACAGTTATAAAGTCACCTGGGGGGCCGGCTGCCCTCAACACTGAATACTGTCCACCATGAATACTTCAGGGATGACAAGATCATCATCTCCAAAGTTGCACCAAAGAACTGTTACAGCTTTCTTTGGAGTTTAGGTTCCCTTGCAGGCAATTCTGAAATGAAGCTGAAACCAGTGTATAATATTTGGGCAGTGCATGCGGAGTCCTTTCTGAAGGGGAGTCGGCTTCCCCTTTCTTCAAGAGGTTCTGGGTCTATAAACCGGCTCAGTTGCTAAGTGGCTGAGGGGCTGTGAGAAATCAATATATTTGGCAAAAATAAACATAAAGGTAATATTTTCAAAGGTAGTATTTTCAAATGTTATTCTTGAATAATTAGGAGAGAAAGGATAAAGCTACAAGCACTCAGAATCATTCATTCTGCTGTCAACCTATCTTTTCCTACATTTGTTGCCCATCATCTTTCCCAGCCAGCTTCAGTCATACAGGCCTGTATCTTTCCCTATACCATTCCCCTCTTCCTAGACTTCTATTATGTCCCCTTCTCTGCCTGAAAGTCCTAGTCCTCCAAGACCTAGGAGTCAAATGTCACTTCTTTTGTGAAGTGTCAATGAAGACAAGTACATACAACATTCCAAACTGTGCTAGGAATTGGGTCACAAAGATGTGGTTCCTCCAGAGGTTACTATACAGAGATAGGATTTTAATCCTACTATTTCTGAAACTTAGATTCGTAATAACACAATTATTGAGCACTTGTGTGCTCAATCTGATCTCATTTAATTGCTTGCTCAGATATCAAGACACCTTAAGTCACCAAAGTTAATGGTTTCTCAGTTCTTCCATCCTGCTGCTGAGTAGGTAAACTGAACATTGAGTATTCTTGCAGTAGAGAGTAATAAAAGTCTACATTTCAGGAAAATACTTTAAGCCTGTTAAAGAGAAAAAAAGACAATCCAATTATTTAAACCTAGTTGCTTTATTTTGCACTTTTAAAATTCACAAAAAGCTTCACAATAGTGCTTTCCCCCTGTTGATCATCAAGGCTTTATGGTAAGACAATGAAAAATTTATCATATCAATTGGGCATACTCAAAAACAATGGATAATTTACAAATTTCTTTAATCAAGAACATTTTGCAAAATACACACTCTGGTACATATCTGAATTCAACTATCCTAAAATTGGTCTTTAAAAAGCTGTCAAAAACCAACAGATTTAACACTGACAAGCCTACCAGAATAATGGTGATGGCAAGCTATAAACAGCTTTAAATGTTGAATGTAATTTGGGGAAGGGGAGAAGAAGAAAGTATTGGTTGAACCTACATTTAAATGAGTCTGTAAGTAAAACCTCTAGTTGAATGAATTTCCAGTTTAATGAATTTGTACAAATCCTTTGCCTTGGTGGTAGTGTCTTAACTTTTATTTTTAAACTTGTGACATCTTGACTACAGGAATTAAATCCTGGAATCAGAATATTTAAGGAAAAGAAAAACAAGGGGGTAAGCGAAGAAACAATATCAGTACTTTCTTGGTCTTTCTAAGTGGGTAACAAATAAAATCACTGTTCATAATTAGGGAATTAGACTACCAGAAATGACATGTGGGGTTTAGTTTTATGTACAATATCTAAATGGCAAAAAATAAGAGTTCAAGGCAATCTCATATAGAAAACTTAAGAAAATAATTGTGTTCAAGTAGTTTTTACATTTGTGGAATGGCATAATACACATTATAGGATTCACCAAATGTACTGCTGTTTCTCCTTTTAATATAATTTTTATCTCTTCTGGGGTAGCTCTTTAGATATTATCAATATAGGCCACTAAAGATAACATCAGAATTTGAGAAGAGAATGGAAATGGAAAGAGGATGGGGGGATAATGAAACTGGGTAGTAATAACAAGCATGATTTTTAAGGTTTCCTAATGCCACAGAAATACATATTTTGGCTAAATGCCACTGGTCACCTGAAGGGATCAGGAAATGAGTGGAATATCCTAATGGTCCCAGTTAACTCGTGATTTGGATGGCTCACTCATGAAGAACTGTTTACATAAACCGCTTGGTGAGGGGTAATTGTGCTGGGCTTACTGCCTACTCTGCTTTGTTTCTTTAAAGGACACTTTTGAGGACCCCTAAAAAGGGCATCAGAACAAAGATCTTGTTAAGACTACAAACAGATTAACAAAGGCATCATCTGTAAATGGTTTGATTATGGATATATTATCAAGGACCTTCTTTTTTGAGATGAAAAATATGGGCCTGGGGAAAAAATGAAACTCCAGTACTACTCCCTCATATTCTAAATTTCTCTCTTTCAATTAGAAGATTCTAAAGAAACCTCAATTTGAAAAGAGCTCTCTTTTATTTCAAATTGTCCCTTCTCTTTCTTATATATGATACTGTTTAAGACTCATATCTGTGAGAATGGTTAGGAGTTTCAGGATTATTTTAACAGAAAACATTGAGTTCATTTACTTGGAAAATAGGATTTTATTATGAGGTCTTTTTGAGATTTAAGTGCTGTATTTTATCACAATGAGAATCTCAAAGCAAATATTCTATAGACGCTTAAGTATTCAGTTTATTTGGATAGTATATTTGAACATATTAAAAGTTACAAAGCCTAAAATAAGCAAGCAACAAGTCAATAAAATCAAAACTCAGAATTCTAACATTTCACATGGTATCACTGACTATGAAATGCAAAAAGAGTATAAATGTTTTAAGTGGAATGATCTCTAACCTAATAAATTACACTAGTGTGACCAAAACAAATGATCGCATACTATAGAAGACAAGAGAACATGAGCTGTTCTCCAGGACTGCTTTTTCAAAGCTTGAAAAATTAACTGACCCATCATTTTAGGGGGGAAAAAGAGAAGTATGGATTACGAGGCTCTACATGTAGATTTTAAAATTCTAATTAAAATATCTTAGACTGTTTTAGATGTTTACTTGACACTGGAAAGGTAGTCAACTATCAAAGTATTTCTCTTCATCACAAAAATTCCATATATTAAGGATTTACACAATCCAGGGAAAAAAAACAAACAAACTGCTAGAAACATTTTTGTTGCCTGAGCAAGTAATTTTCTAAAAAGGCTCTCCAAAATCTTGACTAGAAGTGTCATACTCTGCAATGAAATGCTTGAGTTCTTCAACACACCGCTCACCTATTTCATGTAAATTCTGTCTCAATGCAAATTGTACAGACTTTTCTAATGAAGGATCTTTTTCAATCAGCATTTTCACAACCATCCCGAAAGTTTCACAGTCTTGTCGGTAAATCTAGAAAGGTGAAATATATTGTGGTTAGCTAAGAGTAAAAATAATTAGCCAAACACTGAGCTGATTCAGTTAGCAAAATGATGATGCTAAAGCCTAAAAGGGAGATACAATAATACAACTGAACCTCCCTCACCCTTGAGTAGTCACTACTGTCGAATGCTATTTAAGCCTCTATTTCTGAGATTTGCTGACAACGTGAATGAGTAGAAAAACACCGATATGCCACATCATTGACTACAGAAGTTAGGCATGGCATTTGTCAGCATTAGGCAGTCTACTAAAAGGACATCAGACTAGAGAAGAACTAAGAACAAAGGCTTGCTAAGGCACATTCATGGCTTTATTCATTTGCTTGTTTGGAAGAAAAAAGTTTCTAAGCCCCTAACTTTAGATTCTTTGAATCATGAACAGATGACAAATTCAAAATTTTGCTTAGTATACAACAAACAAAAGACTAAAGTATCTATTTGAAAAAAACTTTTTAAGTTATAAATATTTAACCACAATTAAAGTCACCAAGGCAGAGTTAAGATCAAAACAATGTTATATACAGATGTTCCTTTATGTGTATACACATATATGTATATATAAACACACACATATATATTTTACTTCAATATGTATATATAATCTTTATCAGTGGCACTTAGATATTATTCCCTGTCCAAAAATTGCTAGGTTTTCTCCCCACTAAATATCATTTCCTTGATTTGTAGTCACAAAATGCAGTTTAGATTTCTATGCTATTTCTCATACTCTTTAATTCATGTAAAGAAAAATTACAGTTAAGTATCCATGAAAAGTAAGTGAAATACAAATTACCTGATTTTAAAGAACTGTTACATGAATTTTAATTTTTCTAAATATAACAAAAACAATATAACATGCTTATTCTCTGAAAAAGGATTTATTCATTTTGAAAAACTTTAGAAAGAAGTGATTTGAGGGCGCCTGGGTGGCTCAGTTGGTTAAGCGACTGCCTTCGGCTCAGGTCATGATCCTGGAGTCCCGGGATCGAGTCCCGCATCGGGCTCCCTGCTGAGCAGGGAGTCTGCTTCTCCCTCTGACCCTCTTCCCTCTCGTGCTCTCTATCTCTCATTCTCTCTCTCTCAAATAAATAAATAAAATCTTAAAAAAAAAAAAAAAAAAAAAAAAGAAAGAAGTGATTTGAGACACTACTTGGCTTATGAGTTTTTATTCCTCCAGTGATCACTACTAGTTCTTGTGGTAGTTGCTGCTGTTATTTTTTAAATGTCTGCAATACTTTATCCCTTAACAATAGCTATTTCAAGAAGAATATTTAATTTTAACTCGCAGTCCTTGGTTGCTAAATTGTACTAAATTCATTTCCTTGCTCTTAAAAACCATTCCACAAGCCCCAAGGAAATTAACAGAGTAAGTTCTTCAATGAACACAGAAATTGAAATATGTAAAAACTTAGCTACTTTCTCCATCTCAGCCCCTGCTCCCATATGTTTGTGTGTGATAAGATTTAATCATAATAGCCATTAAGTTTAATTTTCAGCTATCTACACCAACCATTTATCCCAGTTTATCCTAAGGTTTACGTGGTACAGAACTGATATTACTACTCTAACAAACTAACTTAAAAAACAGTACACCATTCATATGATACTACTATATGATGTCAAGGCAACAGAGCACATTGACTGGTTTAAACATAGTACCTAACTCAAGCCAATGCAGTCCCCATGGGGGAAAGTCAGAACCATGATGTTTCATTCCTAGTGGAGGTAAATTCCTTACCAAACCAGTCAGCCCACATAATAACAGCATTCTAACACCAACCACAGGCCTCAGCAGACCACTTTGTGGGTGGCCTGAATTTTACAGGCTTCTTTTTAACAGATGTAGTAGATGAGGATAATGTTACTCTGTGAATTAACCTGCAAATTCTTTAATGTAAATCTGCTGTTTTCCCTAAACTGTAACTCTTCGTTTAGCATATTTACTGAACATAAATGTGCTACAGATTTGCATATCAAAGGTACAAACACATTAAAATGTGTTCATGTATTTACTTAAACTGTAAACTATCACTCTGGAGACAAGATAATACAAGCATTTAAAGATTGTGTTTTACTTTTAATTGTAAGTCCTTTATGAATTATTCATTGTAACAGGCAAATGTTTGTACATTAGTTGACAAGAACAACCAGAACTGCCCAGAGCAACAGAATTCTCTCAAAGGGGTAAATTTTCTAAAAGACTGTTTAAAACGTACTGGTTGGGCATTAGACAGGAAATAATTAGTTTTTGTTAAAGGAAGAACCTCACCCTACAACATTTTATAAATAAAATTCACAACTGTCAGAAACCTATTTCCGAAATCTGTTCCACAGTAAACTCAATCCCAAACAGGAAGGGTGTAGTTATCTGTAGGAGAGCTTGTTTGCTTATGGTCCCTGGCTGGAAATGCATTAATAATCTTCAGATCTGATATCTACAGGCCACACAGGAAGATTTTTTTGTTGTTGCTTTTTCCCCTGATTGAACCTCATCAAAATGGGAAGCAGGTTAAAGTATGGGTGGGGTTTACATAAACTGCATAGAAATGTAGTTAAATTTGCTAGGGTAATGAAAACACTACCCAAATGTGGTTTCATACAATACTTTATTAGAGTAGCCTGTGACAATAGTTAAATTCTCACGAAGTATTTCTAGGAGTAAAGGAAAATGACAAAACCATCAAGGCTTTTTACTAAAATGTTCTTCAGTGACTGAAAGAAGAGTGTCTAGCAAGTTTGTTCTATCTAAAATTGCTCATAATGACATAAAACTCCTCTAAAACGTGTATCATTTAGTCCTTACCTCTGTGCCTCCAAAAAGAGAAAACAAATTTTTTTTTAAAGATTTTATTTATTTATTTGACAGAGAGAGAGATAGCGAGAGCAGGAACACAAGCAGGGGGAGTGGGAGGAGAAGCAGGCCCTCTGCTGAGCAAAGAGCCCTTTGAGGGGCTCAATCCCAGGATCCTGGGATCATGACCTGAGCAGAAGGCAGATGCTTAACGACTGAGCCACCCTGGTGTTCCAGAGAAAACAAAAATTAAGGCAATGTAAGTTGTTAGGAGAATTTTCATTTCAGACAAACCATCTTTAGCATATGCATTAAAATTCTCTAAGAGCATTTTGGTGGAATGGTAGAGATTACAGAGCTGTGCTATCCAATATAGTAGGCACTAGCCACAGCAGTCTACTTAAATTTAGATATATATATGCATATACTTATTTTAATATTTAATTTATATTAACATTAGGAGGTAACTGGGGGTTAACTGTAAAAGTCAGATGTGCATATAGCCTTAAAAGGCTGGAGATTCAAATGAGTTATTCTCTCTGTTGCTGATACCTCATCATTTCATATAATTTCCTTTATCTGAACTCATTTTGTTCAAATGCTCTATGTCCTGTTTCAGAAGAGTCACATCCTAGTGGGAAAGGTAAGCAAAGACAATTAAAACACAGTACAGAGAAGACACTTAGATGTAAATGGTAGTAGGGAAGCCAGAAAGAGCAGACAAGTGGTTCCAAGAGCAGGCTTACTGAGTTCAAATCCTGACTCTACTACCCTGGTAGTAGAATAATGCCCTTCACACCTCTGCCCCCAAGATGTCCACACCTAATCCCTGGAACCTATGAATGTGTTCCCTTATATGGTGTAAGGAAGTTTACAGATATGATTATGTTACAAATTTTGGATAGGGAGATTATCCTGGATTATCCAGCTGGGAAAAATGTAATCACTAGAGTCACTTAAAAAGGAATGAAGGAGAATCAGTAAAAGAGAGGAAATGTTACCACATAAACAGAGATTAAGGGGCGCCTGGATGGCTCAGTTGGTTAAGCATCTGCATTCGGCTCAGGTCATGATCCCTGGAACCTGGGATGGAGCCCCACGTCGGGCTTCCTGCTCAGCGGGGAGCCTGCTTCTCCCTCTCCCTCTGCTCCTCGCCCAGCTCATGCTCTAATAAATAAATAAAATCTTAAAAACAAAACAGAGTTTGAGTGATGCACTTTAAAGATGGAGGAAGGAGCTATCAGCCAAAGAATGCAGGCAACCTCTAGAAACTTACTGGTAAAGGCAAGGAAATAGATTCTCCTCTAGAGACTCCAGAGGAAGTGCAGCCCTACAGACACCTTGATTTGGTCCTGGTGAAACCCATTTCGTACTTTACACATTCTTCTCAAGCTTACATGAAACACTCACCAGGACAGATCACATTCTGGGCCATAAGACACACTTTACCAAATTTAAAAGAACAAATTATTCAAAGTATGCTTTCAGATCACAATAAAATTAAGTTAGAAATCAACAGAAAATGGTTAAAAATCCCAAAACATCTGGAGATTAAACAACATACGTCTAAAATCACAATGATCAAAGAAGTCTCAAGAGAAATTATATTTTGAACTAAATGAAAATAGTTTATCAAAATTTGTGAGATGCAGCAAAAGCAGTACTTAGAAATTTATAGCTTAATTAAGGGGCGCTGGGCGGCTCAGTCAGTAAAACGTCTGCCTTAAGCTCAGGTCATGATTCCAGGATCCTGGGATCAAGTCCCGCATCCGGCTCCCTGCTCAGCGGGGAGTCTGCTTCTCCCTCTGCCCCTCCCCCTGCTCAAGCTCTCTCTCTCTCTCTCAAAAAAAATCTTTAAAAAAAAGAAAAAACTAGAAATTTATAGCATTAAATACATATTAGAAAAGATGAAAGATATAAAATAATCTAAGCTAGGAAACTAGAAAAAGCAGCGCAAATTAAATCCGAAGAGAGAAAAAATAAAAATTCCAATTTCTGCTCTAACAGAAATTAGTGAAAGTGAAAACAGTAACATAGAAAATGAATAAAACCAAAAGCTGGTTCTCTGAAAACATCGAATTGATAGATCTCTAGCCAGGCTAACCAAGAAAAGGGAAGACTAAAGTTATTAATATCAAAATTGAAACAGGGGTCATCACTACTGATCTCATGGACATTAA